TTGTGCTGAAGTGGCAAGCTCCTCCTTCCTTATCAAAACCACACCCACTTATCACAGGTCAATTTTGTCTGCTTTGTTTCTTTACCTACTTTCAACTTATTGTTGAGGTAAAAGTTACTAATTTTAATGCTAGCTATACAGCTTAGGAATAGTAATAGGAATTCATTTATGTATAATAAAATCAAACAGCTGACAATTTCAAATAATAATCAAGTAATAATAACAACAACAACAACAACAATAATAATAATAATAATTTGGACTCAGCCCTTTCCCTTTTTGCCACTGCCTCTAGCAGGGATAAGCTCCCCTCTCTTGATCACTTTGACTTCCCTATCACTCAGAAGGCCTTATCACGCTTGATTGATCAGTCTGTCTTCAATAGTCTGCTGTCTCTGTCTCAGGACGATCGGTCTCGTGCTCTCCTCCTCTCGACAAGCATCTCTCATGCTGGGGACTGGTTGAGTGTTATTCCATCCACTACCCTCGGTCTCCATCTGTTAGATGCTGAGTTCAGGGTTTGTCTTCGCTACTGGTTGGGGGTTCCTCTAGCCAGTGAGTCCTCTGTCTGTACAGTCTGCACTCGCCCTGCTGACCCCTTGGGGGATCATGCTATGGCTTGTGGTGGCAATGGTGATCGAATCCTTCGGCACAATGCTCTAAGGGACGTTTTATTCTCAGCTGCACAGTCTGCTGCCCTTTCCCCTCGCAGGGAAATACAGTCCCTTATCCCGGATTCCACTAGTCGCCCAGCCGACATTTTCCTCCCCTCGTGGTCTCAGGGCCGTCCTACTGCTATGGACGTTACTGTCATTTCTCCCCTCCAACAGCAGACTATTGCTAATGCTGCTTCTTGTCAGGGTTCCTCTTTATTGGTGGCCGAACACAGTAAACGGGCCGTCCATTTTGATAATTGCCATCGCGTTGGAGTCGAATTTGTTCCACTGGCCGTTGAGTCTCTTGGGGGCTGGAGTTCTTTATTAAGGACACCATTGGGCCCACACTACCTGTCCTTAATACATGTACAGTGTAGCCTCTTTATTAAGGACACCATTGGGCCCACACTACCTCTCCTTAATACATGTACAGTGTAGCCTCTTTATTAAGGACACCATTGGGCCCACACTACCTGTCCTTAATACATGTACAGTGTAGCCTCTTTATTAAGGACACCATTGGGCCCACACTACCTGTCCTTAATACATGTACAGTGTAGCCTCTTTATTAAGGACACCATTGGGCCCACACTACCTGTCCTTAATACAGAGGTGTCCTCATTTCAGAGGTACTTTTGTATAGGTTTGTACCAATTGGGACATTACAAAATGTCCTCATTATAAAGGTGTCCTCATTATAAAAGTGTCCTCATTATAAAGTTGTCCTCATTATAAAGGTGTCCTCATTATAAAGGTGTCCTCATTATAAAGGTGGTTCTTATCTCAGTGTGTGTCAGTTTATGATTAAATGAAATTGAGTGAGTGTACACAATGTTATCATTATATAATGAGGAGTACCATCATGTAATCCAATTAAATATTAATAATACAATTAGTTAAGATAATTGCATGCGCATAAATGACATCATTATCATTGTGTCTCATGTGCTTGTGTGTGTGAGTGAATGTCAAAATCTTTGTCTTTTCTTCTCCTTCTCAACAACATCTTGATATCTCTTCAGCATCTTATTATGACCAGCTCCTCCTCTTCCTCTCTGATTGGCTGATTCCAGTGATTGAAGGCTGCCTGAGAAACCCAGTCCGGCTTTATTGGACCTTATAAATGTTGATATCTACAGAAATACATGAATCATGAGTGAATCATGATCACTGTTAGATCTATGGAAATAAACGTTTGGAAGACCAGTCTCTAACTATCTATAAAGCAGTATAAATGCATGTAAAGGTGTTATCAGAAATAATTACAATCAAACTTTGAACCAATCACTGATGTCACACCACCACACTGGCCACTTGAACTATACAAGTACATGTACGCCCACACACCAAATATACATGCACACATTAAATGAGTCAATTAATTATAGCTGCTACAGTGGATTATAGAAGTAGGCGTACTCTTTGGCTGTGCATACCAAAAATAACTATAAAGGCTTGGCCAAAGGGGCAGGTGTAATGTGTCAGTTATTGAACAGCTGCTGGGTATAAGGGAACATGTAACCCGTAGCCAAGTAGCAGAGGGAGAGAGAGAAGGAGAATCTGTTTATACAACCAATTAACCAATTACTGTTTAAAGAGACCATAATGTAATAAACAATAATACCTACCATCCTTAGGATCACGAACCAGTACATGATGAAGAACACACTATAGTCTATCAGGAGGTGTCATGGTTGTAAACCAGATAAAAGGACCCACAAAAACCTAATCTAATAAAGCCGTAAGGAACACGCTAATTATCTAATGAGGGATGTACAGGCATAATAGCTGTAATTACAATTCAAACGCTCATCCCATAGCCTGTTCAAAGACCAGCTGCTGAAATAATGAACTCAAAAGATACAAAACCATATCAATCCTATTAGTCACATTAGCGTAACTATGACAACACGGACCATGTGAAAGAGTGTGCCCTCCTCCACTGTAATAAGATAAAGACCGTTAGTCTCTTCTCATGGTCCAGCAGTTCTAGTACGCTAGACCTAATCACACCCACACAAACCACCTCAAGGTATATACACATGTACTACATGTCAGCAGCGGCAGCAATAAACATGTACTTGTTTACTGCTGGAGGCATCACATCTCCCCCTCCCCCCCCCACACACACACACATACACGTACACATACATGTATTGGTGTATGTGTATGTGCATTGAATAGTTTAATTGAAGAGAATAGTAAGAGAAAAGAGCAATTACGTGTAGAATGTATTAGTACATGTATGTACAGGAGCAAGGCTATTGGTACTATATACATGTATGTACATGTACCAGTAAAAGAGAGAGAGAGAGAAAGAGAGAGAGAGGGAGAGAGAGAGAGAGAGAGAGAGAGAGGGAGAGAGGGAGAGAGGATGGTGGGAAAGAGTCTTTTTCTTATAATTATTCATCAGCTGCAAGGTCGGTCGCCATGGCGATACAAATGACAGCAGCATTTCTATAGTTTTGCTCATAATCCAATTAAGTTATTATTGAATTAGCAAGCTCTTTATTATACATTTCATTTAATTTGTACCACTCAATGGGACCATTACTATGAGCCTCTTCCTTCTCCCATCCTCACTCTCTCTCTCTCCCTCCCCCTCTCTCTCTCCCT